TTTGTACTTCTCGAAATCGGGGACTTTAAATTTCGGCGGAACCTTGACATTCGGAACCAAGCATAAGTCAGAAGCGCTCTTTCCAAACAGGTCTTTCCCACGAAGGGCTCTTAATTCTTTCTGCATCTCGGAAAATTGGTCTTGAAAACCGTCCATCCTTTCTTCAAATCCCACAGTTCACTGGGTGTCCTATGGAGAATTGGATTATCTAACACATACGGAGTAGCATTCACATGTGGTGGTGTAGTGGTCATTACGGCGGCAGTGGTAGGGATGGCTTGAATAGTGGTCCTAGAAGAGACCTCATGAATAGGTGGGCGATAGCCAGCAGGAGTGAAATGAGGAGGCATTTCTCACGGGAAACCTGGCGGTATATTGTAGGTCACTTCAACAACAGTAGACACCACTGGGATCGGTGCTGATACTACTTTAGAGATAAAGGTCCTCTGAACTTCTTGATTGTTGAGTGCAGACTGGTTGGACAGAGCTTCAACTAAACCATTCAACCTTTCCAAATTTTCTTTCAGGATTGCAACTTCGCCACAGAGCACTATGTTCTCTTGTCCAAGTTGATCCATCTTTTGGCGTCGGCTGGCTCGAGTGTTGTATTGGTGGTTCAGCTTGTCTGTGAAGATGAAGCAAGAGTGAGACCCCCCAGAATGCAAAGGATGCTATGCTGATGCAAAATGCGAAATGCAAATGCAAGAATGCAAAATGAAAGGTTTCATGGAACTCGAGTATTTATAAACGTCACAGAGTACCCAAAGAAAACTTGTTTATTATTTTTATTTATTTTTTTGATAAAGGATTACAAGTGAATATTCTTAAAAGAGTCCTAACATAATAGGTAATAAAGTCCTTCATCGGGTTTGTTGATTTGCTCTTCTAACTGAATCTTCTTGAAGATAGTGTGATGGAGGAAAATAAATCCTCTATTTCTTGTTGGAAAATAAGGAAGGAAACTCTTCTTCAATGTTGCTGAAAGTCTTTTGAACTTCATTGGATCCTCAATAATAAAGGGAAGCCTCTTGTATTTGTCTTTTTGAGTTTCTTGATTCTTCGATTAGTGTACTTAACTTCCTTAGGTCATCCGAGTTAGGACTTTTAAAAGAATATTTAAAAATATTTTCTTTTGTAATCCCTATTGGTTCTACAATGTTTATAAATAAACTCGGTATTCCATGAAACCAATGTAATATGATGCTTTATGGAAGCAACAAACACAAGTAAGCACATAGATGCACAAAGGTAAACAAACAAAGGGGACCCTAGGTTTGCAACGAGCATGGAGCCAAAGGGTATACCCATTGCCAAAGGACATGGACTAGAGGTTGATTGTACCTGCGGAACAAGGTTCTAATAAGGTTCCCAAAGTCATTAGCCCATCTTTCGGATATTATCAACTTCCCAAGTACTTCGTGGTTAATAATATTCTCAAGAGAACCTCTTTTAAGTGTAGCATCGCGTAGCACTATTTCGGGGGTACCCCCTCATAGCCCCGCACTACATCCTAATAAAGGCCAAAGTAGGGTTAAGGTAACTATGGTCCTCAATATCACAGGCTCCAACATCGAATATAGTGCATGTTTTCACGATTAAAATCTCGTTCAACAATACAACTTTCGAGAGGGCCTCAATTGAACGTGATTTTCAAGTTAGCTTGGTCGGGATTCCACCCCTTATAAGCCTCGTCGAACATATCACTATCCTATCTTAAGTTCAATCAAGTCCGGGTGTAGGACTTTGTCTCACCACTCAAGAGTATCAACCCAAAGGCAGCAAACAAACAAGTATACAAGTAAGCAAATATAAACAAACATAAAAGCAAGTTAGGGAAACCCATAAAGGGGTCCCCAGTGAATTCGTCATTTCTGTCGCGGTGAAATTTGGATACCAAACTATTGATTAGTTTGAATCTTATTCATTTGCAACCAAACTTTGATTTGTCCAAAAGAAGGGATAAAGGTCAAAATTCCCATAATGCAATGCAAATGCAAGCTAGAGAGTTATAGGTTCGGGAGTTGCTTAAACTTAGGGAAGGTGCTAGCATAATTTCCCTTTGTTGAAATGCAGGTGAATATAATGGCGGGCGAGAGTCACAAACGATGTTTCGAATGAAATAGTAAACAAGAGGGACGACAAGTAGCAACAATATTGTTATTACCGGAAGCTGCTCAAAAGGGAAAAGTGGTGTCCTTTAGTGGGTGTATAAGGTCTGTCAACCTCCTCTCTTCAAGAAATGGTGAAATGGCTCTAGTATGTTCAAGACACCATCAATTACCACAAGAAGCAACATAATCAACCGGTCACGTACATGTATCCTTGCGACTTTAACTCCATGTGATCTGGTAGTGCGTATTGAATCTCTGAAGTAAGACTAACATTTGTGTGATTCTTCTTGTGTTGCAGCTTGTGGTCTGACTTGTTTCTTGTAGAGTTAATCCTACTCATGGATTTACGATTTGCGTAGGATGTTTACGAATTCGATACCAACCGTTATGGCATATCTTTTCCATTTCATAATGATGACGTTCTCTTCTGCAGGTACAAGCCTATTAATGAATTGGAACAAAGTGTCAAGCGGCATCGACTTGACGCAGATAGGAAAATCCAGTGGCGATGCACCTCGAATCAGGTGTGATTTCGACCAATTGCGTCATATTTGTACCCTTAGTTGATGCGGTGTCGTTCCAGAATCTGATTGGAACAAGCACTTCGTAGCTGTATGCATAACTCTTCCTTTTCGCGGATTCGAGACCCGTCGCATGATTGCGGTATGACATAATTGTTTTGTTATATTATTTGGACTTGACTGTAATTATAAAAAGCAAACTCGATCTGGACAGGTGATGGCAGCAGGTTGCCTCCTTTGGAGTTGGAATGGCTTATTGACGAAGATGAACGACGCTCTTGGCCGTGGCATGCTTTCCATGATATTTCTTCATTTCGAACGAACACGTGACTTGCAAACAGGCAGCTTTTCAGATTAGGACGTACTCTGGTTTAGCAGGTGACTTCGTCAAAACTGAATTTGGTGTTTATGAATGGAGTTGTACCGGCACTGATCTTGTTTTAATGACTATTTGCAACGGCTGGATATGGGCAGTGAGGGGATGCTGCACGCGAGTTGCTTCGAAGCTATCGACGGAAGTGTTTGGTTTATGGACTCTGAGCTATAGAAGTCCACGATTATAACTTGGATGCTTTCTTATTGTATTTAGGATTTATGCCAGATAGCTTAGGATGCAGAATAACTTGATTGTAATAGAATCTTGGGGTTTTCATTTGCAATCTTGATGTATGAGCGCACTTTGAATTTTAGAAATGAGTATGATGCCTTGTAATGTCCCATTATTTGAAGGCTATTTTGATGGATTTGAATTTTGAATTATCCTGTGTTTAAAGGTCTCTTAACCTTGTATCATTGAGCTATGGATTAAAACTAAAATGCGATGCGGACAACTCCCTGCTTTTGAATTTTGAGTTTCCATGATGACATATAAATTGTCTCTTGCATCATAACTTGATTTGTTGCTATCTCTTGAGATGGAGCTTTGGAATTGATTTTGTGCAGGGCTTGTATCCATAATTTGAATCAATGAACTCATATAAGAACATGCATCCTTATTTTCTTGCATACTTGAACCTGATGACCTTGTGATCTCAGCAGGAATTTTGGGAACATGCCTTCTATGTCACGAATTATAAAATTATATTCATGGCACAAATGAAATTGAACCCTTTCTCCAAAATACCGTATGACAAGACCTATAATCACTTAGAACCATTTGGAAATATGACTTAAAATTGACTTTAAGTACTCTTGCCAAAAAAAATCCAATTGAAAGCATCCTTCAAATAAACCCTGATAACCTTGGTCAAATTGAACTCGTGGCCTCCTTAATCCTGTCCTCTGGTGAGCCTAATTCAAACTCTGGGGAAATCTCTGAGGAGGAAGAACTTTGGAATATGATAACGAAACTTTAAACATATGGTCTTCAAATAGACTCTTCTAGATCATGGTGATTTTCCCATAATAAAAGTCGTGCTTACTACCAATAAGAGGAGATGATCTGATCTACACTTGCACTCGTCGCCTGCATAAAACTGATTAGTCGCACACAAAAGTAAAAGAAAACACGCAAGAAAACAAGCAAGGAGGTGGGATCTTAAGGTCAGAAATTAGGGCGTGACATGCTCATACACTTACTTTAGCATCAGAGTGCCTTGCAGGTACACCCCCTCCTCTTCTTCAACACCGGTGAATAGGCAGTAAGTCAAGGACGCGTGGCAGTCAGTGATCCCCTTCTGATCAGGTCAGATCAAGTATGTTTTCAAAAAACTTGTTTTCTTGTTTACCAATGAAACGCAGTATCAATATCATAGCAGTATCGTTTACCAACACAGTATTAATATCAATGCAGTATCAATTTCAGTTTAATATCAATACCAATGCAGTATCATATCACTATCCTTTTAATATATAAGTTCATTATCAATTTCAGTTCAATATCAGTATCATACCAGTATCAATATTCAATATCAGTATCAGTTATAGTTTAATATCAGTTTCAGCTTAGTATCAATATCAATAAAGTATATAGTTTATGCAGTATAGTTTAGTACCTATGCAGTATAGTTTAATATCAATATCTAAGTTCAATATCTATAGTTTTCACAGTATAGTTTAATATCAATATCTTAGTTCAGTGTCAATATCTATAGTTTAGTACCTATGCAAAACATAGTTCAATATTAATATAGTTTAATATCTATGTAGTTTTCACAGTAGGCAAATGTAGTATAATATAGTTTAGTATATAAGTTCAATATATAAGCAATATAAAAAATGCAGTATCATAAGTTCATTATAGTTCAATATATAAGCACCCATTTACAAATTTTATAGTAGGCAAATATCACGGTAGGCAAATATCACCAATATCATGGTATCAATATAACAATGGGCATAATATAACATATAACAACATAATATTAGATTAGTTGCGAAAATACCTATAATATTGGGAAATGTACTTATCAACTTCAGTCTTGTTGTGTAAAATACACACCATAGCATGGACACAAGGAATCCCACTCAAAGCCCATTTGCGACAAGCATAATAATGTCGTTGTAGGTTTACCTTGTAAGTATCAATACCATTTGTCACACTTAATATATTGAATTCATCGTCTCCACGCCAAGTAGGACTCCAACCTCCAGCTGTCTGCTTTAACTTTTCTATAACTTGTTCAACCTTAGGACAAATACTGCTTATAAATCGACTCACCTGATTATTTTGCTTCACTATCTGAATTGTGATGTAATGCTTTAAACCTTCCTGCAAGGTAATACTGGGGTTGTTTTTGTACTTCAATATGGACATGTTGAATGCCTCACACATATTAATAACTTGAAAATCACAGTGACTATCAGCACGGTATGCAAACCTAGTCCACATGGACAATGGAAGTTCCATCATGTCTTTCCAGACAACTTTATTGATATCCTTTATTTTTTGCATGACTCTCTCCCAATCTTGTACAACTGTCGCCCTAGCTACCTGCCAAGGTAGTTCTTTCATGTGTCCACCATGATACTTTTTCTTCTAGTTTGCATAGAAATTTAACACGTAAATGTGTTCTACATTCGGGCCTAGTGCTTCAATAATAGGTACCAAACCTTACAAAAGCTATGAATTAGTTCCAAATATAAAAGCATAATTAATTACTAATATAAAAGTGTTAATGATTTATCTTCTATTAGTCTGAAATGAATGAATAAGGTCTTTGCAGTATGCCATTCAGATCCTCAAGTAATAGATCCACAAACCAGTGCCAAGAGTCTCGTGTCTCCGCTTCCACCACATAATATGCTATAAGATAAATTTGATTTTTCCCATCTTTGCCAACAACTACCATTAATTGTCTACCATACTCATCTTTCAAGAAACATTCATCAAGTCCAATTAAAGGCCTATATGTCATTGCAAATGCAGCTTTACAAGCCCATAAGCAGACATATATTCTCTCAAAAACATGTCCAATATCAAACATGTCACACTTAATTATAACTGTACTACCTCGATTAGACCTTCCTATTTCCTTAGCATAATTCCTCAAACAAGAATATTTCTCAGTCAAAGCTCCTTAAATTAGTTCCAATGATCTTGTTTTGGCCCTGTATGCTTGAGCAAATGTCAGTTTCATCCCTATTTCTCAAAGGCTTGTGCTATCAATCCTTTTAGCCTCATTTCTGGTGTATGCCTTAGGATATGCATAAATTTCTTAGATAGCAACTCTATTTTAGCTTGCATATTCTTCGCTGTCCTATGACATATGTGATCTTCTTTTAGACTTACTAACTGCCAGAAATGGTTGCCTACACTTGTAGAAAATCTCATATAAAATGGACACTCTTTTTCACACTTTACAACTATTCTTTTGCTATCATTTTTATCGAAGTGCAGATTTTTCTTTCTTTCCAAGGCATAAGACGTAACTGCATCTCTAACAAGATTCTTTGTGGCAAAAGCTATTCCTAGCTCAACTCTCACTTCTTCCCTACTTTTAGGCATTTTGAATTTTGGATACCTATATTCGTCACCTTCATCTTCACTTCCTTGTGGAGTATCAAGGTCATTTGAATTAACTTGTTTGCTTTCATCAAAATCAGTTGTTGTTGTTGGTTCTTGATTTGAAGACACTTGGTTCCCGTCATTCTCTTCTTGCACAAAGGTATGGATGGGTACTTCACGCGTTCAATCCCAATCATCTTCATCTAAGTCATCAAATTCAATATCACCTAAGTCATCATTATCTTCCTGATTAAAATTTGAATCCTCCTCGCTAACATATCCACTTTCCTCTACCCCGACTTGCACTTCTTCCCTTTTCTCTACCTGCAATTCTTCCTTTTCCTCTATGTGCACTTCATCTCTTTCATCACCTTTCACTTCATCTCTTTCATCAACTTGCACTTCATCCATTTCCTCAGCTTGAACCTCTTCCGTCTCGTCAGAGTCAATATTAATTGGTTCTTGAACATGTTCAACATAAGCCCTTAATTCATCTTTCGTTATAACATCTGGTTCATCTACTACATGCTTAACATATACATTAGCACTTTCATAACCAGACATATCTTCCGCAAATTTCAAAATATCTTTGTCATTATTTAGGGGTTTAAGACCACGTTCAAATGAATATTTAGGATGATGGTACCAGAGACATTTAAATCTTACATAATCCGAACTCTTGATAACTTCTTCAATTTCCATATACGACAATATGGGTGAGCAAGGGACAGGTTGGGAAGGGTTATGACTGACCCTAACCCTGTCCTAAATTTTGATCAGGTTATTTTAATAATCCTAACCCGTACCTAAACCCGAAAAAAATCCGATAATATACAAGTTAGTTTAGACCGGGTTAATGTAAGACAATATCGGATTGACCCGAAATATATGAAAAAAATATTTAGTGACTTAAAAAATTTATTATAGTATTTCAAAAAATTCATTTAAATGAGAAATATGAATAAAATCATTAGCATGAGTGAAAAAAATAAAGACATCTAAAGTCAATTTTTTAAAATGAAAAACATGATGTAATTCTATATATGTCATCACCCTTTTATTTTCACTAAAAATGTAAAATAAAAAATATGATGTAAGAGAAATAGAAAAGTGTGAAAGTTGGGAAGTGAGAAGATATGTACTTAGTACCTACTGAGTGCATATATTAAATTATGGGGTGGGAAGTGGAAAAGTGTATTGAAAATTTGGAATAATCTAAATATACCAATAAATTAAATAAATAAATAGTATCACATTTGCATTCATAATATTAGGACGAGTTAGGTAACCCGAGGGTCAACCCGAACCCGTCCCAACCTGATATCGAGTTCATTTTTGGACAGTCCTTTTTTCCATTTTTTTGCATGGAAGGAAAAAAAACAAAGCCGAAACTATTGGGTTGGGATGAGTATTCGAGTTGGGTTGAGTTCTGCACACTCCTGTAGGAAAATATGTTAGTATCCCATTTTCAGTTCAATTTTTCAACCTTTCCATTTACATAAATTTTGCAAGGTTAATGAAGTAATGTACCACCATGATTAATCGTCAATCTTACTACATTAGTTTGAGATGACATATAACAAGGTAATACATAACATATCAATGCATAACAAATTAATACTTTTCGCAAATGCAGTATATCAGTATACCATTTCGCAAATTCATATCAGTTTAATTTACATCACATTAATACATTTGATTACATATCAGTATATCATTTCACAAAACCATTTCGCAGATTCATATTAGTTTCACAAATCAACACACCTCGTGACAAATTTAGGGTCTTCCTTAGTCTTGGACGATGGTTGTCCACAATTGAAATCGCAACTGTAACCACTTAAAAAAAATGAAGAAATAGAGGATTTAGAGTTTCACTCCCAAAAACGGTCGATGGCTGTAATAGAAACGACCAATGGTTGTAACAGAAATCACAAAAATACCTTTTGCGTCTTCTCCGTCTTTAATGTGTATCGTCTTCAATGTTCCGTCATCTACTCCGATCATTTTTCCTACTACGTCTTCTCCGTTTTCTCCGCCATCTAATGCGTCTTCTTTGTTTTTGTTTTTCCTACTCAACAATTCCTAAAATAAAACATAACTTTTATTATTAAATAAATAAACTATAAAAATAATGACTTGTCAGTTCTGAAATACCACATAATACCAAAAATATGACACATCAACGCATTTTGGTTGACAAATGGGCAGGATGGACCAAAACAGTTTAAAAAAATAGAGAAATTGATATTGTAAGTTTAGCAAAATAGAAAGACAAAAACTATAATTTAGCCTTGATTTTTTATGTGTTTTATTATTTTTTAAATAGATTAAACTAAATAAAAAAAAATACAAATAAATTTATATACAGAAATAAGTTTAATATTGATTCAAATAATGTCAAATAAAAAATAATATTTATATAAAAAATATATATGATGATTAAAATATTTGATATACAGATATACAAAAAATTCTACTTATATAAATTATATTAATTTTATTTATTTTTAAATATAAAAAAATACGTGTCACCCACTGGTATCCGCGTGAAAAGACTGGTTTTAAGTGTGATAATTTTATTTTGGTGATTAATTGGTAGAGTGACGTGTTTGGAAAACAGTGATTTGATTTGAATCGCATGGAAAAACTTAACCGCATCGCTCTTATTCCACCACTCCCCATAAGAGAGAGAACAACCCAAACAAACCCCTTCAACAAGAAACAATTATCCATTTTTTAAATTTAAAATAAAATAAATAAATTAATACTACTACATATAAAACCCTTTCGTGCTTCACACACTGAAGTTCCACACAACAGTTGAAAAAAAAAACTTCGGTGTTCGCGCTTCATCCTCCTTCTCTGGTAAGCTTCTTCTTCTTCACTCTCATCGCCATGCATGAACGAGCTCATTCATAATCACAAATCAATTGAATTTCCAATGTTAGGGTTCCACTGTGCCGATGACTTTTCTTATCACAACGGGATCATCATCATCGTCGTCGTTCATTGCTGGTTCCCAATCCCAGTGCCAACATTTTCTCTTCATGAACCGTCGCAGGCTTTGGAATATCTTCTTCCGCCATTGGACTTGATCATCATCGCGTTTCTTCTTCATTGTTAGGGTTATAATCAATCAACTCTGTTATTAAGTTATTTTTTTTATTTTGTCTTTTTATTTCAAGGTTAGTTTTAGTTATTTTTAATTGTTGTTGCGCTTTTGGACCGGAGTTTGTTTTGTTGGATTGGGGGTTTAGTTTAAGGTTGTTAGTTTCTGAAACACTTTCTGTTTGGGTTTTGTTTTTTCTTTTTGATTTTTCGATGGCCGAAACGAAATTGATTCCAGGGTTTCGGTTTCATCCCACTGATGTTGAGCTGATTATGTATTTTCTCAAGAGGAAGATTATTGGTAGGAAGTTCCCTTTTGATGTCATTGCTGAACTTGACATTTACAAGTATGCTCCATGGGATCTTCCAGGTATGAACTGGACACTGAAACGTTGGTTGAGTGTTGTAGTGCATTTGCGTTTCTTACGATGAGGTTTTTTGTTTGTTCGTTTTTTCAGATAAATCTTTGCTCAAAAGTGGGGATTTGAAATGGTACTTCTTTAGCCCTGTAGGGAAGAAATATTGCACTGGAGGGAGGATGAATCGAGCGACTGAAATTGGGTACTGGAAGACTACAGGGAAGGATAGAGCTGTTGAACATAAGAATCGAGTGGTGGGGATGATAAGAACACTGGTGTTTCACATTGGTAAAGCTCCTAAAGGAGACCGAACTGATTGGGTAATGCATGAATTCAGACTTGAAGACAAAGACTTAGCTGACAAAGGCATTTCACAGGTAAACATCTTTCACTGAAAAATTATGTCTATCAGTTGGCTGTGAGCTGTTTTGCTGAAGATAAGTTAGGTGATTCATGGTCTGTGCCTCGAAGATCATCTGTGCATGTGATGCCTAGTTCTCTTTGTAGTATTATTGCCCTTAGTTACACTAGGAAAGATAGTTGACATATTTCAGTACATAAAGTTGCAGCTTTTGTTGGATATATGACATTAAAGTAGAACCATGTCTTTGCATGTTTAACTAACTCTGTAAATGATTCATGGCAGTAGATACTTTGAATTCGCTTCTATTGCATAGTGCCAGCATTTATCTGCCATCTTATTACTATCCCTTTTTATAAGCTGCTTTTGTCATTTTCACATATATATTACAAAGAATAAGTAGTGTATTTATCGTATCCATGTTGTGTATGAATGTTGCTAAAATACAATTGAGTATGGACGTGTCTATCTCTGACATTTTATCTCCTTAGACAAATTAGTTGAATTAATAAGAGGTATATCCAGAAAGAAAAATATAAGTGTCTTGTAATTTCAAATGAGACTTATATTTAGGGACAAATTTTTTTTTTCCTTCTAAAAGTAACTTGTAATTAGCAATAGAGAAAAAGGGAGAGAAAACCGAGGAGAGAGAGAGAGAGAGAGAGAGAGAGAGAGAGAGAGGGCTCTGCTAGAGTTTTGCTTTAGTGTTTGCTGTCTGCTTCTTATGGATATAACTGCCGCCATATGTTAACGGCCGTTTTGATGCTGGAGAAAACTGCGTCTATAGAAAGCAAAATTTGCGACAAGCTGCAGTAATAATATGGAATTGTTCTGCGATGAATTGCTATGGGCAGCATTAGCTTAATGCTTTGGCATTGTTGAATCTGCAAACAGGGTGGTGAATTGGCATTTATCTATTATAATTCTTTGGCAATGAATTGTTCTGCGATCTGTTGGAGTTATACAGCATGTATTATTGAGCAAATCAAAACGGTTGTGCAGATTACTGGAATGAATTGTTATGCGGCATGAGCATACTGTTTGTGATGGATTTATTGAGCCAATTCCGGCTGGTGGCACGTCTGCCTTGAAGAATTTTGTGGCTGCCTGAATACGACGTGGCGGTTCCTCTTTACCTGCTCTAGGGTTGAAACTCGCAACACTCTTTAATTTAGCTTCTGCAATTTTTATTTCTTTTCCTTTTCTTGGGGTTAGATTTACGTCTCTTCAGGTTTTGTTATTTTTTCTTTATCTTAATTTATTTATAACTTATCGGTAAAAAATATAGGGATAGAGATAGTACTATGCATTTAACTATGTTATCACGACTCTATATCCTTAGCCTGGGTTGCTGACTTTCTCTCATTGCATTTTTTCCCTGGTTGTTCTTTTGAATTCATCTAAACTGTTCTGCTAATTTATTTGCATTTCAGAATTCCTACGTAATTTGTAGGGTATTTCAAAAAGAGGGTCCTGGTCCAAGGAATGGTGCACAGTATGGTAAACCATTTAATGAGAAAGACTGGGACAGTGAAGAGGAAATTGATTGTTTACAATCTGTCCCTGCTGCTGCTGCTGTGTCTTTACCAGCTCCAATTCTACCTAGCTCAAGCCATATTTCTGTAGCAAATGACATGCATCCCTCAACAAGTGGATGCATTGCACCGAACTCTTTATCATGTCTATCAAGATTAATGCCCTCTGGCTTGCTGCACCCTTCAGCTCCAAGCACTCAAGTTGATGATGACATTTTATCCATGCTTGCTATTTTCAAAGACGATGATACATTGGCAGCGAATGAAAACAATGGATCTGAGGTGTGTAATCTATTTCTTTGTTGTTAGTAACTTGTACCAGATTCTCCCCAATTTTGACTCTATTTTCAACATTTTTTTCCTATACTTTTTATCTTGTATTTGACTTCTCACCAAACTCTCCCTCTTTTTGGTTATCTTTGAAATCCTTATGTATTTTACATAAAACACCCTACTCTGGCTTCTTTTATCCATCACTTACTAAATTGCACGACACATTAGCTGTGTTAGTGCTATACAAGTGCCATGGCGGTTGCCATTCTCGCGAAGCCAACAGTGGTGATGGCAGATTGAAAGCCAGCAGGAGAAAAAAAAGAGAAATGGATATCACGAGTCACTACTAAACCCAAACCCTCATGACCTTTAAGATAAAACTCTAAAAGACCTGTACTATTGAGCAGCAGCAGCAGCTGGCTCACATGGAAGTCTTCAACCTCATCCTGTCCTTTTAAACTCCTTAGCCTAAGTTGAATTAGATTGTTTGAATTGCTTGAGAGTAATACTCTCAGCCTTTTGTTAAACCCAAAACCCACATGACCTATAAGATAAAACTATAAATGCTTGTACTATTGAGCAGCAGCATCAGCTGGCTCACATGTAAGTCTTCAGCCTCATCCAGTCCTTTTAAACTCTTTAGCCTCAGTTGAATTAGATTATTTGAATTGCTCGAGAGAAGTACTTAGCCTTTTGTTATTAATAACTAAGTGTACATTCAAATCAGTAAACAAATCCCTTGATTATAGGGATGGATAAACTAACAATCCTTATCTTATAAAGAGATATACTCAACAAAATATAACTTAAATATGTTAAGAAGTGTGGTTGGGCCTAACTCAACCCTACAAAACCGGTTGGTAGAGTGAGGATTGCCCCCACTTATAAACACATGTTCATGCCATATATTGTCCGATGTGGGACTCTTAACACACTCCCTCACGCTCAGGACTGGACAACTGAAGCGTGGAAATAAATGGTGGGTGGCCCGATAGCGGAAACCATAGAAGGTGGCCCACCGGATCTTAAACGAGGCTCTTGATACCATGTTAACAAACGTGGTTGGGCCTAACTCAGCCCTACAAAACCGGTTTTGGTAGAGTGAGGATTGCCCCCACTTATAAACACATGTTCATGCCATATATTGTCCGATGTGGGACTCTTAACAAAATATATACATATCTTAACACCCTCTGCAGGTGCGTATAAAACATATGCATCAAGCTTGTTACATATATAAGATATCCTCGTGCCCTTAAGATATTTGGTAAAAATATCGACCAACTGATCAAGATCACAAAGGAAGTAACTATCTACCCAAATATAACCTCGAGATGAAGTAACAAACTATCTCTGTGTTTTGTACGCTCATGGAAGTCTTAGTTAGATGCAATGTGCAAACTGTCAGATTATCACAAATGAGAGATTCATTGACTCTGCAGAACTTTAACTCATCAAGAAGTTGTTTCAACCAAAGTTATCAATCCCCGATGGCGGAACGTAGCGGCCGACCCCAAAAACGTGATAACGAGATATCGGATAGTGAGATAAATGCTACCTGACTATTTTTTGGACTAATTATATGAATAATAACTATAAAATTAAAAAATCACATCTTTAATTCAAAGTTAGAGTACTATTTTATTAAAATTTAAACAAACATAGAAATCATAGATCATCACCAAAAAAATCTTTTTCTTCAACATATTCCTCTTCATCCTCCACCCCATTATATTCTTCTAATTCATCATTTTCTTCAACATCTTCTACCACCACTTGTTTTGCCATAGTTGCCCTAGAATAATAAGAAAGGAAGAAAAAAAAGAAGGACAATGGATTAAGAACAGAGGAAAACCAACCTGAACTGATGCTTCTTTGCAAGAGGGGAGAATGGTAGGCGGCGATGATGAGGGGAGAGGAATCAACATGCATGATAAGAGGATGGGGTGAAAGCGATGAGAACCGAATGAGAACACAATGAGAACGACGAGGAAGGAGCGAGAAGAGTGAGAACACGATGAGAAACTTTCTAAGGTTTGGGCAAAGCTGTGTGAAATGAAAGAAATAGTCAATTTTTCAAAGGGTAAATGTGGTATTTTTCTTCCAAAACAGATAGGAGGTTGCAACCTGCACGTGGTCGGGAAGCATTCCGCTCCGCGATGAAACCTTTTGCGGTCGTGATTACAAATTGAAACGCAATTTGCTATAGCATGGCAGTCGACCTTCGTGCCAAACCACTATCCAGGGATAGCGCTGCAATTCCTTGGAATTGATAACTCTAGTTTCAACCAAACTAATTCACATGTAGTGAGAGCCTTGTCTCGATATTCCACAACAACAACCAAATTAATTCACACGTAATGGGGCCTTGTCTCGATATTCCACAACAACACTAAGATCTAACAACAACACTTTCCATTTTTGCTTTTCCAAGAAATAAGGCTCCATAAGGCTCCCTTCATCTGCATTTTGCATATGCAACAACATTAGCGGGCCCTCTGTTCTCATAAACTATTCCTCTTCGTGGAGTCCCCTCTAAATATCTCAAGATTCAAATCATTGCATCTCAATGACTATCACACGATTCAAATCATTGCATCCCAATGACTATCACACGGATAATTAAAAAATGGACTAACAACAAAGGATAATGTCGGGTTTAGTCACAGTAAGGTATTCAACTTTCCAACTAACCTTCTATATCTACACATGGATTTAAAAATGACTTCACCCGATCTGGCATGAGCTTGGTATTTAGATCTGTTAAGAGTTCTACATCGGATAATATATGACATAAACATGTGTTTATAAGTGGGGGCAATACTCACTCTACCAACCGGTTTTGTAGGGTTGAGTTAGGTCCAACCACATTTCTTAACATGGCGGACCCATAACCCACAGGTCCCTGGATCGGAACCAGACTCTGATACCATGTTAAAATACAAGAGACTAAGAGACATTTGAATAAATCGCGTGTTTTGAAAAGCACTACGGAGACATTATTATATATAGATAGATTACAACTAATTACATGATATAGTCGATGTGAGACTATTCTATATACAAATATTCTTAACACTATATATTTACAAATATCAACAAGATCCATATGTGTGGCAATGGGTTTGTAATCTAACTTCCTAGTCTTATTTAAAATATCAAAATATCAAGAACATACTTCATTTTGATTGAGCCACTTCAATTCTAAGGAAATATTTTAGTCAACCCAAGTCGTTGGTTTGAAAGAGCTTGGGCAAACGTTGTTTGAGATTTTGAATACAACTTTGATCGTCTTGTATAATAACAATGTCATCCACATATACAATAAGATATATACATTGATTAGTAGATGTGTTTATAAAACCCTGAATGGGCCAAAATCATAAAGAACTTAACTAAATATACCAAGCCATGCTCTTCGACTCTTCTTGAGACCGCACAAGGCTTTTTTTAGCAGCCTACAAACAAAACAACAAGACTCCCCCGAGCAAGGAACCAAGTTGGTTGCTTCACATAAACTTCCTCAGCCAAGTCACTATGTACAAAAAGCACTTTTTTTTATTTTTATGTCCAAGAGATAAAAAGGCCAATTGTCACCATAATTCAAGAGACATATTGATGCCAAAAAGTCTCACCATAATCCAAGCCAAAAATATGAGAATAGCCTTTCTTAAGAATGTGTGGATGAGCCTAACTCAACTTTACAAAACTGACTTGTAAGGCGAAGGTTGCCTCCATTTATAAACACATGTTCAAGTCATATATTGTCCGATGTGAGACTTTTTAACATTCCCTCATGTCCAGGATTTGCATTTGGGGTGTCGAACTAAATGGTGAATGACTCAATGGATATTAAACCGGACTCTTATACCATCTTATGAATATGTGGTTGGACCTAACTCAACCCTACATAGCCGACTTGTAAGGTGAGGATTGTCCCTATTTATGAACACATGTTCAAACCATATATTGTCCGACGCAGGACTCTTTAACCGCCTTTATTATATGACGAAACAATAAATTTGACCATGAAGTCCTACTTTTATTGCAAATACCCCATCAACAACTAACATTAGATGAATTATTAGTCTCTTCAACGACAATATCTTCTATTGGAGAAGGACGAGACGGGGACATCGCTCATAATAAGTAAGCAGAGGAGGAGGACTCAATGGAATGGAAGATTTTGGTGTACCTACTATATGTAATTTGGGGCTAAAGGGAAGAAAAAGGAGAATTAGTAATACTTAAGAGGCAAACCCTTCTGTCACAGGGGAAGTGAAACACGAAACATCTTCAAAGAAGGTTACATTAGCAAATACATATAAACAATGTGTTGAAGGAGAATAACAATGATATCCTTTCTGAACATGAAAGTAACTAAGGAAGACATTTGATAGCATAAGGCTTTAACTTGTCAAGACATGGAGGAGGAAGATCATGTACAAAACAAGGAGAACCAAAGACACGAGGAGATACTTTAAAGAGAGGTTCGTTATGAAATAAAAGAGAACGAGACACTTTGTTGTTTAAAGATGAAGAAGGCAGATACGTTAAAGAGAGGTTCGTTAGGGAATAAAAGGGAACGAGGCACTTTGTTGTATAAAGATGAAGAAGGCATTCTATTAATCAAATAACCAACTGTAAGAACAACACCCCGATTTTGTAGGTGCATTGGCATGTATCAACAAAGTACGATCAATAATATGGCGATGTTTTCTTTCCGCAATACTATTTTGTTGGGGTGTGGAGGCGATTGGATTGATGAACTATACCATGAGATGCTATAAAATTATTAAAAGATGTAGAAAAATATTCTTTTGCTTTGTCACTGCCCAAGACACGAATAAAATGTCCTAATTGAGTTCGGATTTCACTGCAATTTTTTTCTTGAAAAATAGTAAATAACGCTTGACATTCTTTCATTAAGAAATTAAGAAAATCCAAGTACATCTACAAAAATCATCAATGAAAATAACAAAGTACTTAAAACCTAAGATAGAACTGACACGACTTGGACCACACACATTTATATGAATAAGATCAAAAGGGGAGTTCGCTTGATGTGAAAATTTGCCAAGGAATGTAGCCATAATATGTATACCAAGCTGGCACGACTCACACTCTTAATGACTTCAACTGACACCAAGCATGGACTGTATTCTTCAATTTATTTAATCTTGGATGACCTAGACGGCATAGAATTAGATTTAGTGACTCGGTATTAGTGCAAGCAATAGAGGATTGAGGCTGAAAGTAAGAGACCATTTGATTCATGACCTGCCCCAATCGTTTGCCTTGTATTCCGATCCTGTATATGAATTAGAGTTAAAGGTTATGGAACAATCTA